CTTGCCGTACGAGGGGTACCTCGAGCACTCCTTCGTGCTGCACCGAATTTTAGAACAGGCGCGTGACGAGCGAAAGGAGGTGGTGATCGCGTGGCTCGACCTGGCCGACGCCTTCGGCTCGGTCCCACACGCGGTCATTCAGCGCACGCTCGCGCAGATCGGAGTTACGAGAAAACTGCGATGTTACGAGAAATCGTGGCTAGCCTGTACAGAGGCACCACGGTCGCGGTTCGTGCGCGCGAGGGGTACACGAATGACATACCCATGCTGTCGGGGGTTAGGCAGGGCTGCCCCTTGAGCCCGATACTGTTCGACCTGGTGATCGATCCCCTGGTCCGGGCGGCCACGGAATCGGGAGCCGGGTTTGAGGTGTTTGGCGAGAGGGTCACGGCCCTGGCGTACGCGGACGACATTGCGCTCGTCTCCGCGGCCCCTAACGGTATGGAGCGTCTTCTTTCCGGGTCCGAAAGTATCGCGCGGTCCCTTGGGCTAGCTTTCAACCCCCGCAAATGTGCAACGTTGCACGTGGGGGCGGGGGGCGGGGCCTTGCGGACGGTTTTTCGACTGGCAGGCGAAGACCTGCCCGTGCTAGGCGATGGAGATGCATACGCGCATCTGGGAATCCCGACGGGGTTGCGCGTCGAGCAAACGCCATATAGCGACATCGGAGACCTGGTCGCCGACCTCGAGGCGGTGAACGCGTCGTTGCTCGCCCCGTGGCAGAAGATCGAGACCGTGGCGGTATTCTTGCTGCCCCGGCTCGACTTCGTGCTTAGGGGAGGGGTCGTGAAAAAGGCGCCGCTTGGCGAGGTAGATCGAGTACTGAAGCGGATGGTGAGAGGGTGGCTTAACCTCCCCCAGCGTGCTAGCGCAGAGGTGGTCTTCATCCCCCCGTCTAGGGGCGGATGCGGGCTCTCTCCGCTGGCTGACCTCGCGGATGTTACCGCCGTGGCGCACACGTTCAGGCTCCTGAATGCGGGCAACCCGGTGGTAGCACGGGTTGCGAGGTCGGCGCTGGATAGCGCCGTCCGCTCGAAAATACGCCGCGAACCGACCGAGGACGACATCGTTGCCTTCCTCTCGGGCTCGCTCGAGGGGAAGTTTGGACGACCGTTCTCGGTCGGTTCGTGCCGGCGATGCGGGTACGAGTCGGAGACTTTGCCCCATGTGCTCTGCCACTGCGGCCCCCTTTCGGCCACCTTGCGGTTGCGACACAACGCGATCGTGAGGAGGCTTGCTGCGGCCTCCAGGCTACCGGGGGTTGTGAGGATCGACCGGTGCGTCCGGGGTGCCCCCGAAGACCTTGCGGCTTTGCGTCCCGAGATTGTCGTGATCAGACCTGGACGCCTGGCATCCTCACAACAACAGAGTCATCTCCCTTTTGCGCGTCTCACCCAGATACGCGGCATTAATGAGGCGACACATGGTATCGGAGACGATCGCGTGGTCCCGGGACATGTATATTGAACACGTTACGGGTATTCGGCAATACAGCTCGCCGGAATCGGCCGCTCTGTGTGCGGCGGCCCTCGCGATTCTCAACCGGTACCGCGTCGGTAAACATTGCGACGTCAGGCGCGACAGTCGCGCTCGAATCGATTTCGGAATCCGGAACGATATGCCCGATACCGGGAACTCCCCCGCCCAGCGGACATCGACGGGTGATTAGCGCGCGTACACCTGCGCGCTGGTGGGAACACGAGCGACTCCCGCGCTGACCGACTCAACGCCTGTAAACTGCGATAGGGATGTCGGCACCTTATCCTGTGTCAGTTAGTTTCTGTCTGGATACTTCATTTATTGTGCTTAATAGACGTTCGTTTATTTATTTGTTTTGTTTTGTTTGTCCAGTTCTACTTTATTTCTATTTTCTTTCTATTGTATTCTAGGTTTTGTACCATTACTACTATCACTATTATTATTTTCATTATTATTATTATTATTATTATTATT